AAGATGATCGGCTTGAAAAGTGGGCCTCAATCAAACATGATAGCAGCTTGAATTAGATGCTGGCAATGAAGGGACAGAGAACTAGGTGGATGAATGGAGTACTTTAACCAGACATGGTGACACACACTTGCAATCCCAGTACTTGGAAGACCAAGGCACAAAGACCTAACGTTGATGTGATCAACATTCTAGTGCATGAAATAGAAAGGCGAGGTTAAAAGGTAAGCAGCCAACCAATGTTAGAAGTTAATGTCACAATGGAATTCTATGTGTATGATCATATAAAATAATACTTTATGAAACGAACTCCATGAAAGGCACACAAGAAATATTTTTAGTTGCTGTTTTCATTTTCTTTTCCTTTTTGCCTTGTATTTGAGAGAGTAAGGGGGATACAGAAAAGGTAGAACAAAGGGTGAGCAAATACAACAGTGGTACTCACTGGACACTATGTGGAAAATGAACTGAACGTCTTGTGGGTGGGTATGGGAGGGAAAAACTGGGAATGAGTGAGGGAAGGGGAGCTATAGTTCAAAAAGAATTGTCCTCCTTACCTGATTCATGTAACTGTTATCCCCCTATATATCACCCCTACAATAAAAACAATAATAAAACAAAATTTACAGAAAGGAAGTTAGTGTCAGATAGCTTTCATTTCCATCAGTTCCCAATGGTAATTCTAGCTACCTGACATTTTTTGTTGTTTTTCTTTCTTTTATTACCGCCTTTCTAGTAGGTGTCAGGGGTATCAAGTTCTTTGATATACATACTCTGTGCATCTGTTTTTTGAATGTCTTCAACGTGTACTCTTCTTTTGTTTCCTATATATTTTGACACCTTTCCCCAAACACAAATGTCCTTTTCTTTTTGTTATCAGCATCCTTCCTGCTTCTTTGGGGTCTAAACTCCCAAATGGAAGGAGCACTCCTGCTTTCATGGTTATTGCCTTTCAGTTCTTTCTTCTCACTGAAATACAAAAGCATTTAAATTTCAAAAATCCACATTTTCTTATGCTGACAATAAGCTCTAATCATTATTTTGAGGATTCATGGGAGTTTCATCAATAGATGGTCCCTTGGACCTTTAATCTTTATTTTATTCAAGTCATTTTTGTTCTTCAATCTCTTTGTGAAACTTCTTTCCCCCCTGGACCAGGTTATACCTGTTCGTGCATCAATGGTGCTATTCTATAATAGCAAAACACAGCAGACTGTCACATACATAGGGAGGGGAATTCAGTAGGCTTACTGGTAGAATTTTACAGCTGACTCTTTTCTGGGCCAGTAGTGTTCCCACAGGATAGCTTCAGGTCCTATTCTAAACTGGAATATTTAGTTGAACTAATTGGCCTTTTGACATGGTACCATGATTAACAAAGTACTAGATGCATTCATCTCTTTAATTGCCCAAAGTGGGTAAAGAATAGCAACATTTACTTTAGGAAAAGATTAACAATTTTTTTTCCTATTTCTATAACAATGGTCTTGAATTCCTTCGATTGTTGAAGACCATGCTATTTGAAGACATTTAAGAATGGTTGTTCTATGACCTTATTAGTAAGCATAAAAGTAACTTTTTAGTTCCTGAAAGATTAAGTTCATGAATGAGATATAACTTCTTACTGAAGTGGAAAAATTACCTACATGTAATTACCTAGACGCTTTTGAGCGTCTAGACTGGGTGAAGTGGGTTGGTGCAAGGAAAGACATCATTTGTGCATAAAACAAATTGAGTCAGCTCCAAAGGCAAAGAGGACTCATGGAAAGAATAGAGGAGATGAAGAACTTCAGAGACAAAACTTCTTCCCAAACAGCAGCAAATGGCCTTGGCCCAGAAACAAAACCTTTGTTCTTCAAAGTAGGAAGAACTCTGAGGAGGCGTGTTTGGTTGGTTGGCACATAGTTGTGTTTTTTTTTTTTAAGGTCGAGCTTCCTGGATCCAAATGTTAAAACAGAAAGATCCTTTTTTCATTTAACCAGCATAATGCTTTGTTGTAACAAAAGTTTGTAACAAAAATATTGAATAGCAGCTTAAAGATGTAGCTCAGTGGTAGAGTATTTGCTTAGTATGCTCAAGGCTCAATCCTCACAGCAACATCAAAGTGGGGGAGGAAATTGGAAAATACCACTCTCCAGCTTGTTCACAGACCACACACAACTTTACTGTAGCTAGGCTTTATTGTGGTACACGTTGGATGTGTAGCCAAACAAAAGAGACTCACAGCTGTTAGAGCTACCTGGCTATCAGCACTGGCTCCAAGCACAGCCTGGAACAGCAAAGGCCCCTAGGAAGGAATCTACTATCTCCATGGGGGACCATACAGAGCAATGGATGCTGGGTTATGTTTTGTTAATGATAGCTTGTAAGCCATTTCCTGGGGAAGCTGAGAATTATTTGTGGACAGGTATATGGAGTTGGTGGAAGCGGGGCAGTATTGGAGTGCAGTACTAGGAGAAGAGAGGTTTCAAAGGTTGGATTTTTCCTTTGATGAGCAATTTATAGTACAACAGAATTTTTTTTAATTAAATTTTCTTAAAATTGAGGTTTTTCTCTGCATATATCCAGCTGTAAGATGTACATTTGTACATTTTATACATTCAGTGACTACCTTTGTTTCTTCCTTGTGAAAGGAGAAACAGAAAAAAATCCTATGTGATTGAATATATTGTTCAATTTATGCTATTTTCTGATTTTAAGAATCTTGGTTTCTAAATCTTTATCTCTCTTTGATTTAATCTAGACAGTTGTTCTTAAACTGGCAATATATCCATAAATGTGAGCATGTGTGTTGCCTAAATTGAAAGTCATCAATTACTGGCTATTCTTCCCTTCTGGTTCTAATGGAGAACAAAGGACCAAATAAAGAAAAAACTTCAACTTGAACTTGAAAACCCTGCCCAGATGAGGATGCGGTGGTGTTCTTTGGCCTCCTGTGAATGAAGGCTGCTTAGACATCCAGCTAAGAGGCTACCAGTCAGATATCTCCCCTCTACTCCTGAGTGTGTGTGTGTGTGTGTGTGTGTGTGTGTGTGTGTGTGTGTGTGTGTGTGTGTGCATTGAGACCACTCTTTCTATAAGAAATATGGGTAATTGAGGGCAGAGAATGAATTCTTTTCTCCAATACACACAATCTTTTCTTCATCTAATCTTTTATTTAATAACCAAGTGTAGGGTCAAGGTTGTACCTACAGCTCTTTAGAGGAGGAAACAGCAGAGCATCAGGGATGAAATCTCTGTACAGAAAGTCTCACTTCTGTATGGGAAGAATTTTTTCTACATTCTTTGACTTCTCCTTGGGGAGAAAGTTATTGATACAGAAAATTCTGTTTTCAAGGAGAGTAAGTCACAAGGTACACAGCATTATTGACCGAAACTGAACATATTCAATTATGCCCTGCTTTATATATATGTATATATATGTGTGTATATATATACATATACACACACACACACACACATATATATATATATATATCTTGTCCATCATATCTTGAAGTCGGCCCCGGTGCTGTCCCTGAGCTCTTCAGCTCAAGGCTAGCTCTCTACCACTTGAGCCACAGCACCTCTTCCAGTTTTCTGGAGGTTTATTGGAGATAAAAATCTCATGGACTTTCCTGCCATGGCTGGCTTTAAACTGTGATCCTCAGATCTCAGCCTTCTTCTTTTTTTTTTTTATTCTGCCAAGGCTGAGTCCATTTTTATATTTTATTTTTATTATTATTATTTTTTCATTTTTTTATTGTGAAAATATCAGCCTTCTGAGTAATTAGGATTACAGGCATGAGCCACTGGTACTCGGCTGCAATTTTTTATTATAGATTAAACAGAAATCCCAAATGATGCAAAAGTATCTCTAATAATACAGTCTTCATAATACATCTGAAACTTGAACATCTTGGAATCCTTCCTCTTACTAAATTCTCAAAGAGAAAATAAAAGCCAAAAAAAATAATCTGATTAAAGGGTGTTAAGTTTTAAAGAAATTAAAATTTAAAAACCACCTTTCTGTTTTTTTGACAAGGAGGATTATATTCATATGGAATCCGGGTTCTTTCAGAAGATTCGTCATTTTCTAAGGAAATTGTTTATCAAATCCAAATTCTAATTACTACAATTCCAAGTTACTCTGTTTCTATCTTGCATGAAATAGCACCTGGTGGCTCATGCCCATAATTTTAGCTACTCAGGAGGCTGAGATTTGAAGATTGCAGTTTGAAGCCAGACTGGGCAGGAAAGTGGATGAGACTCCTATCTCCAATTAACCACCAGAAAATTGGGAGTGAATATGTGGCTCAAAATGGTAGCAATCTAGCTTTGAGGAAAAAAGAAAAGGAAAAGCTCAGAGTCTAGTCCCTGAGTTCAATCCTCATGACTGACAAAATAACAACAGCAACAACAATAATAATAAAGAACTTAAAGAGCAGACTGAATACCTGAGAGAGAAATCAGTTTTACCTCTCTCCATTGAATTTAAATATATACAATGAATCTCCCACAGCAATTACTCCTGTTCATAATGTAATGTCATGTGGCTGCCATTAAACAGTAGTAGGGGGAAAAAATAGTAGATTACATTTCAGCCTTGTCAGGAAGCCTGATAATGAGGACAGTTGGAGTCTTTACCCTATGAACTTAAATTCAACTATACGATTGCCTCCAGTAAGAGGTTAATTGTGACACCGATTCCCCATCTGATACCACTTTATATTTTGTGTAAACTATTAATTTGCTATGATGACCTCATAGCCTCCAGGCCTTATAGAAATGCTCTTCTTTCACTGTGTGTTTATCTCATGCTATTATGTTCCGGTGAGCCTTATAGTTTGGCATGTGCCTACGACGCTGCCTCTGTCTACTTCTCTGTGAGGCTGTGGGTATTCTGTGTTTATAAAGAGTCCATACTCTAGAGTCTATTGCATTGGGTTCTTGACAATGCCAATTTTTTACTCTTTTTCTGGATTTCTCCAATTTGGGAACTTCTGAAGTTATTTGGGCGTAGCATGTCACTTAAGGCCTTTACCTCTACTTCTAGAATTTCTTTGGTTTACAAATCCTGTAATACACGGGATTTTCCCTTGTCTCCATTTGCCTCCGCTGGAGACAGTTCCGAACTGAATCAGCTCTTTGCTATTGATTTTTCCAAAAATTGCAAAGAAGGTAAACATTTTTCTCCCTGTGTGGAGTACTGCTGGCTTCATGGAATTTTAAAGTTGATACAGCTTCAACTCTAGTTTTCATCCCTTGGATTTCAAACAGCTCTAGGCTCTTTTTCCTTGCATTCCTCTATTTCCCTACAAAATCCCCCCCCCTCCCCCCCCTTCCCGCTCTCTGATTCTCTCTTCTTCCCCTGGTCCCCTGTCAGACAGGGGTAGCTCAACTTTTACAGTTTCATAATTTCCTAAGTTATTTTTCTTTCTTCAAAGCAAGAGCATTAATATTAAGATTAATTGTAATAAAAAACATTTATGGGGTACTTGGAGTTGCCAGGTCCTCTGCCAGGAGATTTTAAAGATAGGCATGCTTATTTCCCTGCTTTTGACGTGGTTATTGAAGGTTAATAAGGTTAAGATAGTCTCCAAAGCCTACAAAATTCAGATAAAAAAATAAAAAAGAAAGAGAAGAGACAAATTACCTCTTATCCACTCTTTAGTAGAAGAAATCTATCTGTAATAAAAACATGCAAAATACGTTGTTTCCCCAATCAGTGAAATTAATCTTCATTCAATGGAGAACAAATAAAGGGTTCAAATGGTTTCAGGTAATATTAAATCTACTGCAGAAAAGCATGTGTGTGTGTGTGTGTGTGTGTGTGTGTGTGTGTGTGTGTGTGTGTGTGTGTCTGTGTGTGTGCACACGTGCATGCATGTGCATGTGAGCTCAGGAGCCCAACCTCTCAGAGTTGTCCAGGAGCAGCCATAAGTAAGATATTCACTAAGAACGTGACTGCAGTGGCAGGAAATCATGTTGATTTGTGTACATCATCTATTTATCCTATAGCATGGAGGAAGAGTTAGATGTGCAGATGACCAGTGAACTTAGGGCAATTTACCCTTTCTGCTTTTTAATACTGATTCTTTTTTTCTTTTTTTTTTTTCTTCTGCTTATGTGGTGCTGAGGAATCGAACCCAGGGCCTCATGCATGCAAGGCAAGCGCTCTACCACTGAGCCACCTTCCCAGTCCCAATACTGATTTTTTATTCGTCACAGTCTTGTATACATACATCAAGATACTATTTTTCAAAAGGTGGTTTGATTGTTTGAATGGTAACTGTAGAGCAAGTCATCACAAAAGATTTATACAATACTTTCAGAGAGAAAATTTTGAAAGAAAATCATTGCTAATCTATTTCCAAGAAAATTATTGATAATATTTTGGTGGTAACTCCTTTTCCACTTCAATAAACATAAAAGATGAAGTGGTACTTCTATTCTAGAAGTGCTTGCTAATGTAAAAGGATATGATTTTCCTTAATAATTCCTTAACAACCCTTGATATCACACATACACACACACACACACACACACACACACACACACACACACACACGAGCACTTTTCATGCTTTGAAAAAGTCCAATATATGGTTGTATCTTCATCTATATGTGTGTTCTCCAGGAAAGGGCATTTGACTGATTTCCAGTGTTTCATAATTAAAATGGGAATTAAAATGAACATCTTAAGCATAGTTTTTTGTGCATTTTCCAATTACAATCCTGAAGATCAACAAAGGTATCATTTAGAATACTCTTTTGCAGAAGATACACTGGAAAATCTGCAACATTTTCTGACATGTACTACCCAGAATTCACCTGGGGGAAATAATGCAAAGAAATTTGCTGGTGGAAACAAAGCAGGTCTGGGTCACAAACGTTTCCCACCTCAGTTTTGCTGAGCTTGTAATTTGTAGAAATTCTTGCAAGAGTTTGGAAATAATTTGACTGTAATATTTACTTGTTAGTATGATAATAGACTTTTCCAACATTCTGTACTTTCACACATATTTTAATAAAAGTATGTATTTTAAAATACAGAGAATTACAAAGAAGGGCGTGAAACAATTTTTAAAATAGTCATTATTTTCCAAGAACATTCTGTCACTTTCTACCATTTTTTCCTGTTTTGTTTAAAACTTCTTGTTTATTTCTCATCTATTAAACTACTAGCTAAAACAAGGGGATCAAAGAGAACCCCTTTCCTGGATTGTGTCACAATGAACAGCATCTCTATGTTTTTGTGTAGAGGTATCTGGTGTAGGAAAACATAAGTAGAATTACCTCATACTTGTACAATAACAGAAAGGGCTCAGTGCCTGTCAATTCTTTAGTTGTCAATTTCTTTAGTTGTGTCCAAGTTTTCCTATGAAATCTTGAGCACCAGTAAAAATAAGTGGAAATAAAACAACTATGAATAGCCAGACATTCAAACTCTTACAATTTTATTTGAAATTGATCATTGGCCTTGCTAGCCTATGAGCCTGACTTACTGTTTTTACTTATAGTTCTTGATTTTGATCGTGTGTTTCTAGCTTCAACATATTTCATTATTTATTTGTTTATTCATTCAATAATTAAGTACCAATAATTTATAAATTTTAGGTTATATTTTGAGATCTGGAAATAAATGCTAGTAAAAAAAAGCAATGCTGCACTTAAACCTAGTGGGTGAATATTTTGTGATTCAATAAATTACCTCAGATGTTCATGAGTATTTCATGGAAAACTCTGACCTTTTATTTTTTCTAACCAATATGTAGGATTTCAGATTCGAACCCAGGGCCTCATGCTTCTCAACTTCCTTGCTCAAAGCTAGTGCTCTACTACTTGAGCCAAAGCTTTCAGTCTAGCTTTTTGCTGGTTATTTTGGAGATGGAGTCTAGTATGTTCTTTTCTGCCTGGGCTGGATCAGAACCACAACCTCCAGATATCAGTATCAAGAGTAGCTAACATTATAAGCATGAGCCACCATCACCCTGAAGCAAAACCAAACTTTAAAAAATTTTGAAATGTAGGCATTCTTAACACCTTCTCAGACCTGAGTTTGATTTTTATGTTTGGCTCCTGACCATTCAAACAGTGATAAACTCCACCATAACAAATGGCAACCAGGACATAACTTCTCAATTATATAACAAACCAGTGTCTGTTCAAACCCACAGAAAATATGACATTTCCAATAAGTCACATTTTCAGGCTTTCTTTAAGATCATCTGCCTAACCACCTTGCTTCCTCAATATTAACGTTGGGAAGGAGGGAGCCAGGAAAAAAATCTAAGTTTATAGCTTAGTTAAATATAGAAATTTATACTGATCCAGTCATTTAACATTTTCTTTATATGCTATTCATATTCAGTTGGGTTTTCTATTTTTCTGATTTCCTATCCTTCTCCAAGATACCTGTAAAACAGTCCGCTACAAGACAGGCAAGGCTTCATAGATTCTAATGGCAGAAAAAAGGGAAAGGTGATTATATACAGAACCTTGTATCTGTTGGCATATCATGCCAGCTAGCAATTCTTCACATCCTCTTTGGTCTGGTCAGAGTCTAGAGATCTCCTAAGTCAGTAAAGACCTTCAAAGTATGGGAGCTGTGGGGTCTTGAGTGTGGTTGGAGCTTACTGTGCCTACTTGTGCTTGATTATAGTGAAATTTAGTCCCTGCCAGAATTCCATTGAAACTCTGCCAGTTACTATCGTTGGCCACCTCAGTCCCACATGCCCTTCTCCTGAGGACATGTGGCATCTTTGCAAGTCACTTCTGCAGCTCACGGGAGGCAAGAATGACTTAGGAGTTTGACCTAAGGATCTCATTCTGCCCGGAGATTCTGAGGAGAGTCTGGGAAGGACCATGTCAGAGGCTGTGTCCTTTTGGATTCGGTACAGCTGACAGATCTTGCCATCTCCCTATTAACGTTTGCTGTGGTAGAAGTGCATACGCCAAGTACGACACACAGCTTGTGCCAGAGAAGAGCTGATTTTTGTTGGGATTTTCGCATTGAGAATTTACCTGGTTTAGTTAGGTACACCGGGACCCATCAATTAATTGGCAGCCCATTCACTTCCACCATCATGTGGCTACAAAAGCATTTGCTTGAGGCTGGCTGAGAAGGCGATATGAACAAGTAAAGCAAAGACACATCCCTTGGCAGGAGAGAAGGTATTGAAGCCTGCATTCTAGTGTAAAAGTCAATGTCAGTACTCTTTCTCAGGTCGTTGGAAATTTTTAGACACCCAATTTGCACTAAGGCATAAGGAAACCTGGCAGGTTTTAACATTATCATCCCAGTTATAAAATGATGAACTGACTTGGTAATGTAGTCTAATTAGGTTACATACCTGAGCATGGGCTGTGAGTGCTTGACTAAGTTGTGCTGTAAGACCAGAGGATTCTGTGTGTTAACAAACTCCTTCTGCATTAAACCTCACAGAGCAATACTCTAACCATCATTGAAATATTGTAAAAATATACCACCTTGATTTATAGAAGTAATATTTATTACATTCAGTTTGAAAACTGGCATCTAATTTTATGGAAGTGCTTTGGAACTGTGAGATAGCTTTTTTTTCCCCTCAAAACAATGAAGGTAAAAGTACCGAATGGCATACGTATTTTAGAAAGGTGTTAGACCACTGGACTTCTGTAAGGCTTTGTAATTTTTACCTAAAGAAAAAAATTAAAGAATATATACTGGATGATTTTCTCCCAAAGCTTAGTAGAGTGATTTATTAGTTGTTCATCTATTCAAATCAGTAACTCAAGAGTGTTTGAGGAGACTCCATTTCTCCATTAGGCTGAATTGGTAATATCACAGGTCTAAGCAAACATTACTTGTATGCTTCATTGATTGCTGACTTTTGAAATATCATCAAAGCATACCTTTTCCTGCTGTCCATAGCTCTGTAATGAATGACAGGTCCTCAGAGTTAAAATGTTTCTTAAGGGAAATTTTCTCATCATCTGTCTCACTGATAGGTAACAAAGCTAAGCATCCTACAATAGGTATAATACGTCCATTCAAGAGCTGTCAAAATATTTTAAAATATTTTGTTAGAACACAAGAAATTCCTTCAACTATAAAAGCATATATTTGTAGAGATGGTTTTGTTGCTCAAAAACACAATAGCCAAAAGGTAAACTGGGTAATTAAAAACACTACATCTGACTATTCACATTTTTTGTGCCAAAGAAGAAATTAAAATTATTAACTATTTAAAAAATAATGCCAGGATATATCTATTAAAAATTTAGAGGTATTGACCGCACATTACGGTAATGTCTTGTCAATGTCATTTTCCATTTTATTATTATTGTTTTCTTGTATTGGAGATTGAACTCAGAGCCTTGTACCCATGAAGCAAGCCCTTTTCCACTTGAGCCATTTCTTCAACTCTGCTCAGTTTTCACTTTGATAACCAGGACTCAATTGGGACCATGTGTCATGCAGAAATAAGGAAATAAGCTTTAACATATGAAGCTTTTATGGCAGAATGAGTCTAGTACAGATGTGAAAAAGTTTTTAGGGGACAAAGATGGCAGTCTTGAGCAGCTATAAGGGCAGTTGCTATACATAGCAATTTTATTCATGTAAATTTTAATGTGTGAGTTCCTAAGAATCAATACAACTCTACTTTCCTCTCCTGCCCCCATATTCTTCAGAAGCAACAAAACGATTGAAAACCCGATATTATAAAAAATATACATGAAGAAAGGAATCATTTACACTACCCTTGTTATGCCAAGGTCACAGGACCCCCCTGCAAGAAGACCACCGAGAGTCAGACTCTACAGCTGTTTTATTTAAACAGGCTGCAGCTCGGGCCTCCTCCTACACTCCGACACAGTGGAGCCCAGGAGGAGAGCCCGGAGCTAAGGATATGCCGGTCTTATAAGGGCATACAACCAGGTGGTTTAGCACCACGTGTTGCTCTGCTCTGAAACAAGCAACAAATGTTCACTGACTCAAATACTCTAACCTTTCACCCTCTCCATAGCAATTATATCTCAGAGTCAGCATACATTTGATGAATGAAAGTTTCCTTTACTGGAAATTTTGGAGCTAATAAATGAAGAGGGAATGATAAAAATATAAATAACTTTATATATAAAATAAACATACCTTGTAATGTAATGCAAAGTAAATAATCTAGGCAAGGACCTTCCAAAGGCTGCTAATTAATCAAAGGACAATGGAAGTTATATACTTGGATGAAAGAATATACTTCCACATTGATCTTAAATCTCATTAAGCTTCTTCCACAATTGAAGTGATCTATGAGGAAACAAGAGACAGGGATAATAGTAAATATCAGCAAGGATTACAGGTATGAGCTACCAGTGCCCAGGCCAGTATGCATTTTTTTTTCGTCAGTTGTAGGGCCTAACTCTGGGCCTGGGTACTGTCCTTCAGCTCTTCAGCTCAAGGCTAGCGCTCTACCACTTGAGCCACAGTGCCACTTCTGGCTTTTTCTGCTTATGTGGTGCTGAGGAATCGAACCCAGGGCCTCATGCATGGAAGGCAAGCACTCTATCACTGAGCCACCTTCCCAGTCCAGCATTTATTTTTTGTTTTAGCTAAATACATGTAAATTCATTTTCTTCAGAGCACCTACTGATACAGTATTACCTGCTGCTTTGGCAACAACTCTGAGCAGAGGGTCATAGCATCCTCATTGCTTAATACAGAAAGACAGGAGCCATTCTAGCCATTGACCCTGGCTGTCATTTCCCGCTCTCATTCTTGACTCCCAAAAGGAAGGCTTTGCCTATTGCTTTACATTTGAGTTCAATTTTAAAAAAAAATTTTAGTCCAGTCTGTTGAACATTTCATTAAGTGTGAGGTTAATTAAATGTAACTATCACAACACATTGAAACTTGGGTCTCCAGAATTGCTATTGAATTAGCTACTTGACAAGAACTACTTTCTCATTTGCCTTTATTTTCTTCTACATTCATTAATGAAAACACTTACAAGTTCCAGGAGATAATGGAGCTGCCTAAATGACTGGACATGAAAGACTGAGACATCATACTAATTCAGCCCAGTGAGACACTGACGTTTCTATTTTTAGAAGTATTTTGGAGAGAGTAAGTTTTAATGAAAACTTGAACATAAATTTTTATTCAGTAAATGTTTTTCAGTAGCTCAAAACTTTGACATTGTTTTAAGCTTTCTTGAGTTCAATGACTTGTATATTATTTTCTAAACCAGTCTCTCCCCCCTCCCTTCCTTCCCTTCCCTCCCTCCCTCCCTCCTTCCATCCCTCCCTCCCTCCCAGGTTTATTGCCACCTGGGGCTGACAAGGTCACCTCTCCCACCAGAGGGGGAAAATGGTGCCTGTCCTTTGTTCAGGGTCAAATTTATAATGGGTGAGGGCGGGGGGTGGGGGGGGCAGCTCTAGGGGCAGGAAGATGGGAAGTCCTCTGTGTGCTCCTGCAGCTGAACTCTAAAGATGGCACATAGCTGGGGTGGGGTTTCCTGATTGTAACAGTTACAGTTAGGTAGCATACCCCTGATGCATCTGGGGGCTAGAGGTAAAACAGGGTTCTGGGAAGTGAAGTGGGAATGGCCAGGGCTGAAGGCCATCTGCAGTTAGGCCTGGCCAGATCAACTGGCTTGTTGAGGGGCTGAGATGGAGGGCATGCTAACGTTTTCTTTCTTGTTTGCTTTCTCTTTCTTTCTTTCTCTTTCTTTCCTCTGTCTCTTTCTCTCTCTCCCTTCCTTCCTTCTTTCCTTCCTTCCTTTCTTTCCTTTGTTCAGGGTCAAATTTATATGAGGGGGGTGTGGTCCTGGGGTGGTGGATCATGTGCTGGTCCTGGGATAAGAACTCAGGGTCTGGGTACTGTCCTGCATTTTTGCTCAAGGTTAGTGATCTATTGTTTGAGCTACAGCTCCACTTCCAGCTTCTTGGTGGTTAACTGACGATAAAGAGTCTCACAGACTTCAAATCCCAGACTAGCTTTGAACTGGGATCCTCAGATCTCAGCCTCCAGAGTAGCTAGGATTACAGGTGTTGAGTGTCTGACTTGCCTTTATATTTCTAAGCCTGATAGACACAATATGTCTAGAGCAGACTGATGATGAAGTAGCTGATATTCTGTCATTTTCTAGATGTGCCTCCCTTGTTCCCATGTAAGCCACAGCACAGGATATCTCATTGCAAAAGCTGCAGAGAAATGGGAGGGTCTGGTGCTTGGAGGAAAAGAGTTTATGGACATTGTCTTCTTTTAGCTGCTTTCTCCTTCCTGCTGGTGGTCAGTGACTGTAACTGTTTCCATTAGACCGGGAAATCACCCTGGCTCCTCTTTTTTCTTCACCATTCTTTCTGTATGAATGGATGAATCCATCACTGACCTCTTTTGACTTCAAAATAACTTTCTATGCTTAGTCACAACAGCTTTCAGAACTTCAGGTTCAACCAGGATGACGTACAGTTGTATATATGTAAAACCCTTCAATGTCTTCTCCTTGTATTTAGAACGAAGTTGCTTTCTTTTCTATAAGCTGTAAGTTTCTGCCTGATGTACGCTGTCTCACAGGAAATATACAGGTGACTTTGCTGCATCCTCAAGGATCTCTGGCCTCAGTTTACATTACTGGTCCTCAGAGATGAATTCATCTTTGCATTCTCTATCAAATAGTCCCGTTCATTTACTTTGCAGTACTTTTTGCATTCACAATTCCATATTTACTTGTATTATTTTGTACTTGTATCATTCGACTCTGAGTTCCATGGGGACAATGTTGAAACCCAGGGCCTTACACGTGGTAGTCTCTCAAAAAGGGGAATTGATGAGTGAATGGTACACAACTGATTGTCTTGCTAAACTTAGTAAAGGTTGACTGTTCTATTTGGTTGGAATGTTAGTTTTCTACTTTCAAAATTGTTTTTCACTCTCTTATACAATGCTTAAGCTAAAAAAAAATGAGATTATAGATAAAATGAAAATGTATGCAATCATATTTTATGATACAGTTTTATAGATTTTACATTAAATGACTAAGTCTTTCATTATGGAACCATCAGTGTTACCTATAAAGCATGAACCATAAGACATGAATGCTGATGTTCTTTAAGAGGGAAAGCCTGTCTGACATGTATTTGTTTTAGTGTTACTCTGGGGAAAACACACACATACACACACACACACACACACTTCTGTTGTCCTCTACCTCTGTCTGCATCAGTTTAAATCACTCATGCAAATACATATCTAAGAAAAGTGAAATGGATAGATGCTACTGGTTTACAATCTTAGCTAGTCAGGAAGCTGAGATTTGAGCATCAAGGTTTGAAGCCAGCTTGAGCAGATAAATTCTCCTCGAGACCCTTATCTCCAATTAATGGCTTGTAGCAAGTTATGAGTGAAAGAGCCAAAAAGATTTGAGTTCAAGCCCCAGGAATGGCATGAGAGAGAGACAGAGAGAGACAGAGAGAGAGACAGAGAGACAGAGAGAGACAGAGAAAGAGACAGAGACACACAGAGAGACAGAGAGAGAGACAGAGACTTTTTCTGCAAGTAATAGTACTTGTCTTTGTGAAATCAGTTCAAAGGCAATGATTTTCTCTTGGCTATTCAGCCATTAAGTGTACAGCTGGAGCTTTAACAAGCTTTCTCTTAGTGATCATTATGTCAAATACTGTAACCAAATAGCTAAAATTTTGTTAATAAATTTGCTTCAGTTGGAGATTGATAAAAAGTATTTAGAAAAATGCCACTGGAATTGTTATAAAAGACTATCTATGATTCATGCATTTAGAGATAAGGAAAAGAATGTCCAGAATGCTTGGTTTTAACCCAGGTATATTTAGAAAATAGAAAACAGTATAGTCTGGCAAAAGCAGAATGATTTTTTTTTACTGGGTATAAGATTATGTGGTTAAAAATTAATTTATTTGATCTTAAAAATCTTATGCTGAATTGACATACACAGTAGGACACCTTTGTTTCATGATGTATGGGTTATTTTACTGTGTTTCAAATGCTTATATTGAGATAGCACTTGCACATCACACAATTCACTTATAGTGTGCAATCTGACTGTTTTTGTATGTTTACAGGGATGTGCAATCATCACCACCATCATTTTAGGACATTTTTTTATCATTTAGGAAAAAATAACACTGTATTTAGTAGTCATTCCCCATTTCTTTCTCTCCCCTGAGATTGTCATCCTCTCTTCTTCTCTGGAGTCTCATGTAGCTACTCATTTTTTACCTTCTTTGTATTGGCCTATTCGGGATTCTTTCATCCTACCCAACTATAATAACATTTCCTTTGCTAAACATCCCTTCTCTTTCCTCCAACAGTGCAGGATTCAGGTAATGACCACACACCTCTAAACTACTATTACCTCAGTTTCTCTTAATTCTTCTTTTGATTGTAAAGATAAGGTACAGAGGAGTTACAGACACATAAATCAGGTAATGAATACATCTTGTTGAACGGTGTCACCTCTTCCCTTGTTTTCTCCCAGTTTTTTTTCCCTCCCACTCCTACAAGTTGTATAGTTCATTCCCAACCTAAGTGTCTAGTGAGTATCATTGATGAATTGGTTCACCCTTTCTCCCACCATTTGTGTTCTTCCCTTTCTCCTCCTCCAAACAGATAAACTTATATACAAGACAAAAGGTACAGAAATAAAAACCAGTTACAAAAGGAGAAAACAGAAATAAGTAAAATAAAAACCTCTTGTTTCCAATTTTTTGGAATTCATTTTGATAAGCATCATTTTATTTTTTTTTTAATTTAATTTTATTTTATTTGAGAACATACTGTACAGAGGGTTTACAATTACATGGGCAGGATAATGCATACATTTCTTACCAAGCATTGCAGCCTCCTCCTTTGTTTACCCTTCACCTCCCTTCCCAGCCTCCCCCCTCCCTCCCACCCAATCATACCCCCCCACGCCCCCCCCCCCACCGACATTGTAAAGCTGGTTTTGACATGACATTTTGTACTTCGCATTGTGATAAGCATCATTTTATATGATGATATGCACATAGCTATTAAACCTTTGGGATCTTTTCCTAAGAATATCCTCATTTGGTCTCACTGTGTGAATGTTTAGAATCCTGTTTAATTCATCATGTCCAGGTGTAAGTTTTTGTCTTTTACCATTCATTGTGTTTACTTGTAGATTTATAGGAACATTCTAATTGGAAAATTATATTAAAAATTATATTAAGTGAAGTAAGCCAGACCCAAAGAAACACAGGTTTCATGGTTTCCCTCATTTGTAGTTATTACCTCAGGTTTTTAAGATTCCAAGTGAATGAGGTCATACAGTATTTGTCTTTCTGTGCCTGGCTCATTTCA